GCCTGACTCCCAGCGACTCTGGGCAGTTTATCTTAGGGATAACTATCAGCCTAAAAACTGAGAATTTATCTTGAATTTAGTTCTGTGTAATCATCACAAGAGAGCCAGTGTGGTGTAGTGGTTAAGGCATCAGGCTAGAAACCAGGTAGTTGGATGACCTTGGGCCAATCATTCTTTCTCAGCCCTAGGAAGAAGCCAATGGCAAACCACTTCTGAAAGCTTGCCAAGAAAACTGCAGGGACTTGTCCAGGCAGTTGCCAGGAGTCAAGACTGACTTGAAGGCACTAAATAAATAAATCATCACAAACAAGGCATGTCAAAGTAAGAAAATAGAATTGATTACATTCTTTAATCCAATGCCCTCCAGATGTGCTGGGATTACAAGACCCAGAATTCCTTTGCAATCTGGAAATCACTAGATTGGGGAAATCTGGGTTAGAATATTAGAGCTCTGAAATTTCCCTGCATAGTATTACCTCAGCTTGCCTCTTCATAATCAGAAAAATGTTGAATAGGATTTTAGGTCCAATATCCTTATGATTCCATGCTGCTCACTACAGAACTTGGGTAGAAATGCCCAAATTCCCTTGCTTCATTTTCATGTTCTCCTTCAAGAGCTGAATGCAAAACCTTGAGCTCCTTGCTTCCCAATTGTTTTTCTGGCCCTCCGAGTGACATTCCTCTTCCATAGATGGGAAGAAACTCTGCAGTTCTGGCTGCTTGCCTACCTTCTGATGTAACTCTCAAGCTTTTTCTTTCACTGTCCTCTGAAGCTAGGAAGGAATGTCCATCTCTAGGATAGTCCCTTCCATCCTATGGAGCTTTGACCCTCCTCTCCCCTCATCTGACCCTCCCCTTCCATCCCCAAGGAGACATTTCCCTTGCAGCTCTAGAAACATAGACAAGTGACGTCTTTGCATATGAAATGTCCTTTTTAAACTGTGGGGCTGGGGTAAGGGCTGATTAAAGAGGAGGAGATGGGGAAGTAGAACATAACCACTGCTATACCCTAGGCAAATGTCATCAGGGCCAGGGCGTGAAAAAAGGGAAGTGAAGGAGGAGAAATCAGGTAACTAAAATGAAAAGGGAAGTGACAGCCTGGCATATAAGATAATTAATGCCTATATTTTGCAGAATGAACATATCCAGCCTTTCAGGGCAAACTGATAGCTTGACAGATCTAGTTTTCCCTTGATAAAGGACATTCCTTTCTGAGCTTTGCTCTAAAAAGGACATGAAGGGTAAATTTTCAGATATTAGCAGGTATAGTAAAAAAAGTCAAGATGATGCCCACAATTGTGTGATCCAAACTCCTGCCTGTAATGCACCTTAAAGTGGGCGGAGCTTTGATTATACTGTAGTGGCCACCATCTTGTGGACCATGATTGCATCACGTGGACACCTCTGAGTATTAGTTTGTTATTCTGAAAAAGAGTGAGTCAGGTCATATGAACAACTCTTTGTGCAGGGCAATTTCTTTTAAGGTTTGAAGGATCTACATTATGCTCCAGAATGCAGGAAACATTGTTTTCTCAGGAAACCAGCGATTGGTTTGCCTAAAGCTGAGCAAATATTGAGAAGAACAAATATTTTTGCATCAGTCCCCAACAAAATGGCTGGCTTGAAACACACCGGGCTTCTCTGTTTATTCTGGTTGTGATTGTTACTGTCCTGATTCAGCCAGACAGGCTGAATTTCTTGTATTTCTTCTTGAAACAGGAGAGCGCTCCCTCTAGAAAAGTGAGATTTTGATGGCTATGATTTTTCACCCAGCTGAAGTTTCAGACCCTTCTAAGCATTCTGATAACTAAACTGGGGAATAGATCCCATTCCTTATGTGCTCTGGCTCTGAAGACCTTTGGTGATTGGTCTTGGATATTTCATTGCGTTGGGGCCAGCTTTATCAGGGCTACGAAAACCCAGATGATGACAACATAGCAGCAAATGTACAAGGAAACTCTTTGAGGCCATGTAGTGATGTCATGAGTTTTGTAGCCCAGATCTGGCAGGCCTAACTTGCATGCTTGTATTGTATATTTAATGTATCAACTAAATATACCCATCTACATATTGCACAATATACCTTTATTTGGTATTTTTGCTACCACACATTGAAACTAACCAATAATCTAACAGTGTTGTACATCTCCAGCTTTAATTTTGTAACTGATTTATTAATGAGTCTTCGCCCCCTTTTTGGCATCATTTAAAACCACAAGAGCAAGACACGTCTAAAAAGGTATGTTGCCTCAGATCAGACATAGAGCAATAGTTTAAAACATTTAAACAACTAGCCTCTGGAGTTGAAATATGTGGAACTTAAACAACAGCCACTCACTAAGACTGATTACAGGTAATCCCGAGTTTAAAAATGAGTTCTGTTCCCAAGATCTGTCCTTAAGTCGAATTTGTATGTAAGCCAGAACAGTATTATTGTATAATACTGTAGAAGTAGGATTGTGTAATGAACTTGAATCATTGTGTATTTAAGTAGACTTTTGCTACAATAGGCTCCATTTTTAACTAAGGGTCATCTGTAACCTGGGTGTTCTTAACCCGGGGGCTCCCTGTATTGTCCCTCATCTTTGCACAAAGGACAGGTCCCAGCCCTCATGCTCTTAGGACAATTGAGCTTCTCTTTTGGCAGGTTTTTACGTCACACTGATTGTGAACCGTTGGTGGGCCCAATATACCAGCATTCCCCTACCAGACCAGCTGATGTGCGTCATTTCCAGCAACGTTCATGGGAGGGATGACAAAGGTCGCATTTTGCGACGCACTCTCATCCGTTACGCCAACCTCTCTTCTGTCCTTATCCTGCGTTCAGTTAGCACCAGAGTGCTTAAGAGATTCCCCACTATGGACCACATCGTAGAAGCTGGTAAGCCTGACTGGGGAGGAAAGATGTAAGACTGAGGGAATGAGAGTGGATGTGGATAAGCTTCTCATGTTTGGCACTATGGCCCAGGGGGCAGAGAAAAGCAGGAATCTGGGGGAAAGCCAGTGTTGATCTATCTTTGCAAGGCTCTTAGTCCTAGTATTGGCCCATCTACTCAATGGGAGTCTTCTTCAACATGGTGTCCTCCAGAACATTAGGACTGCAACTGGCCTTTAGAGGGCACAAGGTTAGGGACATCTTTTTAATATTATATTAATGCTTAATCTTTTTTTTTTCCAACCAGCATTTTTATAAAACTACCTGAATGTAAGGCTGTCCTCAGGGACATCACTAGAAATGCTTTGCTAATAGCTGAGATTTGGGAACGCAAAATAATCCTTAAATAGAAAGGTCAAGCTGTCTATGATGCATCATGTTCTAAACCACTTCCCCAAACTGTTGCCCTATAGTTGTACTAGATTTCAACCTTTCAGAGTCCCCCGGGCAGGTTGGAAATGGATATCGTATTTTAAATATTTCAGGAGAGTGGTTTTTGAGAAAGAACAAATCGGAGAGACAAAACAAGGAACTGGGAAGGGGCTAAACTCTCCCTACTTGCATTTTTTCAGTTTAAACTTCCTTGTTCCACTGTATCTTCCCTGTCAAGTGTCTGTTGTATGTATTACTGTAGTAGTGTGGTCAAGCCCATATTTTATAGCAGCCTGCTTCCAAGCCAAGTTCTCCAACTTTCCCATACCCCTCTTACAGGTTTTATGACACAGGATGAACGTAGGAAATACGAGAGTCTCCATTCAGACTTCAACAAGTATTGGATCCCCTGTGTGTGGTTCACCAATCTAGCTGCCCAGGCGCGACGAGAGGGGAGGATCCGTGATGATGTGGCACTCAGATTACTCATGGATGTAAGTTCAAGGAGTAACGGAGGGAGTTACAAGTACCCAAGTTTAAACCATTCTGCTTCTTGTTTTGCACCATTTGTCAAGGTTGGGATATTCTTGCCTTCTTGAGGCTCAATATCTGGCAAAAAAAATGAACCCATATACATATCCTATATTTATATAAAAGTGACTTCAGTTTGTTGCCTCCTGCATGATTTTAACTGCACACATCCCATCTGTGCTGCCAAAGAAAGAAGGGTTCCCTGAATTGGCTGGAGACATTTATCCATCTTCTTACCCATCAGCCTAATGGAAAGTTACAATTCAATTAAAACTGCTGACTGGTTCAACAAGAAGCTTCAAATTGCACTTGGGTAAAAGCTGGGTATTGCAATACAGAGTAAGCTACTCATCAATGCTGCATATTCTGAATCTTTTGTTTTCTCCCCTGTGCAGGAGCTGAACCGCTACCGCGCCAAATGCAGCATGCTTTTTCACTACGACTGGATCAGCATCCCCCTAGTGTACACACAGGTCAGTGCAACTGAAGACATATAAACATTGCCTGGGTCCGCTGCTACAGCTACCAAAGCCAAAAAATAATTAAGAGCCACATTCTTCGGAAAGTTTCACTGTTTATAAGTGGGTGGGGGATGTGTATGAAATAGGGTTTTAGAAAACTCGTATAAAATGAGGAAATTGCTTGCTTAAAAAAAATAATTGCAGAGTCCAGTGATGCTGATACCAGACACGAATGACATCTTTTCCACAGGTGGTCACTATAGCTGTCTATTCTTTCTTTGCATTTTGTGTGGTTGGACGTCAGTTCCTGGACCCAGCTCATGGTGGAGAACTAGATATGTATGTTCCCTTGCCCACACTCCTGCAGTTCTTCTTTTACGCTGGATGGCTGAAGGTGAGAATGTTGGCTTCTAGCAGATGGTTTGACTTTTTTCGTATTACAGTAATCATTTAATAAAAATAAATGGCTCAAAGTAGTCCTGCCAGGCTCTTCCCAGCTGCATTTTACCAGGTGGAATATATGACCTGTCCTACAGTTTATCTAGTACGGTACAATTCTTAAAGTCTAGTGACACCATTTGTTGAATAAACCAGCATGAAACAAACCAGAAGCTCAAAACACTGTCAGGGTATTGAATAAAACGTCAGACCGTCTATCTTGCATTCCTCCCTGGTGAAAGTCTGCTGAACCTATCAGCTATTCTCTTCAGGCATCAAGCTATGGCTGGTGAAGTTCAGCTGTTTAATGTTTTTAAGTTGCATCAAAATCTATACAACGTTCATCCATTTCTGTTTAACAGAATGCCTTTGGAATGTTCAGGTAAACTAAAGTTCTTGCTAATTTGATGAGTAACTACAGACTAAGCTTTACAAAAATGCAGTTCATTCTACACAAATTCATAGTTATCTTCAAAATACTGAAGTGTTCTCTTCCATATAGGTGGCTGAACAAATAATTAATCCCTTTGGAGAGGATGATGATGACTTTGAAACTAATAAACTGATAGACAGAAACTTTCAGGTGAGTCTTATATAAATGCTTAAGATAGGAAATACACCACTTGCATGTGGCACAAATTATATCTGGCTTAGAATTTGATGCACCAAGGATATTAGCTATTGCTGATGATTTTACTTTAAATATCCTTACGGGGCTACAAGAGCATGAAATTAGTCTGTGAAATCTGAGTAATCCAGCTTTACTCAACCTGATGCTGTCAGATGTATTTAATTTCAGACAGTATGGCAAAATGGGATTGAAAGCCTATCATGAAAATAATTTCACAATCTGGAGGTCATTGGATTAGGACAAACCACAAATTGCCCTGAGCCCCAACATCTGCTTTTCATTTTTTTCCAATTCTGTGAAAGCAGACATAAAAGTGAGAATTACGCAAACCAAAAATTTGAACCTAACATTAAAGTACAGTAATCAGTAAAGACATTTGGAGTTTCATGGGCTACCCTTCAAAGACAGAACAATTCTCTTTGGTTTGGTTAGGTGTCTTTGCTTTCCGTGGACGACATGTACCAGAACTTGCCTCCAACCGTGAAAGACAAATACTGGAATGAATCTACAGCTCAAATACCCTACACAATGGCCACAGTGGCAGAGACCCTGAAACCTTCCTTCATGGGCTCCACTTTTGATATGCGGTAAGTTCACCTGCCAAATGCATTGGTCCTTAGACAGCTACCTATTGAGGCTAGAAAATAGGACAAATACCTAGTAGCATCGTAGCCTGGGGCTTTGTGAACCTCCTCATCCAAATAGGTAAATTAGCTTGATTGGGAGATATAATTTATCATGTAGTATAGGAATATTCATGCCTTCATAAAAAGTTTAGAGCATGTCTCTAAGCAAGATAATTTATTCTTTCCAATTTCAATTCTGGAAAATTTCTAATTTTCTAAAGAACTGCAAATTGGCAATTCAGGGACAAGCAAGGTTCTGGTTGAAATAAACTTTAAGGAAATTCAAGAGAAATAAACAGCATGACTGGCGTCCATGAAAGCATCAACAAGCACAGTAATGGGTAATTTATTGATGATATAGTTGGGAACTAAAAAGATCCAAGAAAGCTCAGGAGTCTGGTAACACCTTTTCCAACTAATAAATGTTCTTAAAAGATGTAAGCTTCCATGAGCTACTGCTCTCTTTAACTGATGCACCAGACTCCTCCTGATTTTTTTTGCCACCATAGACTAATACAGCTCTCCTCCTACAATCCCATATATCCATTAACTCCTTCTCTCCAAGATATCATTGGATTCTCACTTTCATAAGCTATAACCAGCATGTCCATGATGTCCAGGGTGATGGGAACTATAACCCAAGAGCAGTTTTTGGGCCACTCATGGAAGAAGATCGGTTTGCTTAGGGATCAGAACTAGTTTAAAGTCAGGCAAAATTTAAAAATGTTTGAAGGAAAAAAAAGAGCAGTCTATAACACTATATGATAAAGGTGTTATTTAACTTATTTAACTTATTTAAGTTAGCCATTATACTATTATACCAAATAATTAAATGCCACAAGGTCAACTGAATGCCACAACACTAGCTGTCCAATTAATCTTGAACTGGCATAGAAATACAGCTCATACTGAAAACAAGTTATATACATTGGGATATAAACAACCTACTTTACTCGGATACAGATCCTTGCTAGATCCAGGCCTGGAGCCAATCTGCTTAAGCCTTTTATGCTATAACTGGTAAAACTGTTTTCAGGTTTCACATAAATGTTACTTGTTCCTGCACATAAAGCAAATTCTGCATTTACTGGAACAACAGTAAGAGCACATGGAATTATTCTCATGTGATCTTTCAGAAAGCTCCCCCAGTTG